CCCACCCCGCCGGGTCCCCGATGCCCCCACACCCCCAGCGACCCGGCCCCCCGCTCACCGCCAGTTCTTGGTGTGGGGAGGCCCCTCCTCGAGGCGCAGCAGGGCGTACCGCGCCGCGCTCAGCGACAGCCCCCGGATCCCGTCGCCCCACTCCTTCTCCGCCCTGGGGGAGGAGGGAGCGTGAGGGGGTACGGGCAGGGGCAGCGGCTCCACTCTCTGGCCCGAGCCACCCGCCTCCCAGCCCCGTGGGTGCGTCGCTCGGATGGCTCGGCACCGCTGCACCGCCTGCCCGGCCCCGGAGGAGCCAGCCCAGGCGCGGCGGGGAAACTGAGGCGCAGAGGGGAGCAGGCACGGGCTGCGGTTGCCCAGCAGGGCAGTGGCCAGGCTGGGAGCAGGGAGTCCTGGGCGGAAGCCCCCGGCACCGGCCACCCCCCCCCCGCTCGGACCCCTCTGGCGCGGGTGCACTCACCCCCGGTACTCGATGTACTTGTAGATGAGCCCGGCGATGAGCATGGCCACCAGCGCGTAGTACCAGGAGCAGATGAACATCAGGGACAGGCAGAGGCTCATGCCCAGGAAGGACAGCGTCCTGTGGGCACCGAGCGGTGTCACCGTGGCGACCCGCTGCCCCGTGTCCTCCTGCCGAGGCTGGCATGGCCCCGGGACACCCCACAGCCAGCCCCACGGAGCCCCTGCCCCGCACGCACCAGTGGTAGTAGCGGAAGCGGGGCCGCCAGTTGGGCGTGCGCAGCAGCGTCTGCACGGCGCAGGCCAGGTTCACGAACATGTAGCACATCAGGAAGAACCTGTGGGGGTGACAGGGCAGAGGCTGAGCCGCTCGTGGGGTGAGGGGCTGCCCCCCCACACCCATCGGCTTGGGCGCCGGCGGGCAGGAGGGGCTCGGTCTGGCCCGGGGCAGCGGGGAGCGCGGGGCCAGAGCTGCCTACATGGAGAGGATGGGGGCCACCTCGTCCAGGGAGGCGATGAGGATGCCGATCTCGCAGATGCAGGCGGTGAGCAGCAGGGCCCAGGTGGGCTCCCCATTGGCCTTGCCGTGGCCGAAGACCTGGGGCAGAGGGAGAGGAGTTAGGGGCACGGGCTCCCGCGGGGCAGTGGGGGAGGCCAACACCCCGCCAGCGCCAGCGCCAGCGCCAGGGCAGGGCTCCAGCCGGGACCCTGGGCAAGGAGCAGAGCCCAGCCTGGCGAGGGCCAAGGGGCCACTGTGAGTCGGGGAGCCCACGGCAGCGCCCCCATCAGGCCGCCAGGAGGCGGGAGGCGGCTCTGCCCTGGGGGCTCCTTGCACTGGGGCTGGGGGCTCCGGGCATGGGGGACGTCTCCCTGCATTAGCTGGGGCCGCCGCGCTCCTCAGGCTCTGGCGCGGGATGCGGCAGCAAGTTAAAATTAGCTGCCGTGGCCTCGGGGAGCTGTCGGGTTGCATCGGCCTGTGCCCGTCTGCACGCGGCAGCACAGGCGCCCGCGACCCATGGCTGCGGCTCCGGGAGCGCCGCCGGCTCTGGCATCCACCCCCGCGCCTCCTTGCCGGGCCCAGCAAGGCCAGGGCTGCCCGTGCCCTGGACGGTGGGGCCACACCGGGGCCTGGTTGTGGGTCAGGCAGGGGCCGCAGGGCACGTACCCGGAGGAAGGGGACGATGCCGTCCCGGGAGATGGCCTGGAGGAGGCGCGGGGCGCCCGTGAGGCTCTGCAGCCCTGCCCCGCACGTGGAGAAGAAGGAGCCGATGACGATGACCCAGGGCGACGGCCAGGCCAGCGTGCCCACTACCAGGTTCCCGCTCACCGCCTCGCCGAACCTGAGGGGCACCAGTGTCACCCAGGGCAGGGGCTTGCAGACCGCCAGGGCCACTGCCACTGCCACCCCTGCACAGGGGCTGGATGCACGCTGCCCAGGAGCCCGGCCAGGACAGGCAGGGGCAGGAAGCAGCGGTGCACCCAGCCCCAGGCCGCCGAGCCCCCCTGGGCCCCTGCACGGGGAAACTGAGGCTGGGGCAGAGGGGCATCAGCCCTGGACCCAGCACCCGGCACGCTGCATCTACACCCCGCACCCCGGCTCCTCCACCCACCGCCGCAGAGCATCCCGCCGGCCCCGCAACCCAAAACTGTCATCCGCCGAGCCCGGAGGGGGGTGCCCTAGATTCAGCTCCCGGGCCGGCTGGCACCCGCT